TGGCTGGCTTACGATGGAAATTCATCCTACTTGGTTAACAACTGCATTATTGAACTTAAATGTACAATGACAAATATATGCTACAGTAATTTTCCAAGATCTTAAACCAAGAAAACGTAACATTGGATTTCACAAAAGTAATTCATTCTCAAACGAAGGGCTTTAGATGCTCACCAGCTCATCTCTCTGGATTCCTGGAGACTTGTAGACCACCTGCTTCAGCTCCACAGAGGTGTTGATCTGAGGAACACACAAACACTGAGTTCATCATGTGATAAGAAAATCATTTTAAATTCTACTCAAGCTTTCTACTTAAAAGTCTGAAGTATTTTTTATTTTTTTTTTACTTGGGGAAAAATCATCTCAACTCATTAAACTCCAAATGGTGCCATCCTGTGGTCAATGTACAAGACTGCAGAAATACCATACTGTCTTGTTCAGAACAGCATTAATAATAATAAAAATATTGATGATGATGATGATGGTAATAACTATTATTATTTATTACAGCTGCAATCATTTATTTCATTATTTTCATTTAATAAGAAGAAGAATAACAATAACTGTATTTTTATATAATTACATATATAATCAATAGTAATATTGCAATTAGATTTTTTCCCCCTCCAAATTGTGCAGCCCTATCTACATGCAGCATAGTAAGGTCATGTAACAACAATGCAGCATAGCTACAGATTTATATGTGGAATAAGTAGGTAGTAGGTAGTAAATAGTGTATACTAAGCAGTATTCAGTAAGTACTAAGCATGTATTTCATTCTAAAGCAAAGTCACTTTGGTAAGAAGCACTTGCTGAGCAATACTGTACATGCATATTTAAATGTGATATTTTGTGTCAGAAGTTGTCCTAACCTTCTCTTCATATTCGTAAGTCGGTCCTCTCTCAGAGGTGGTGTAGTCATACTCATCCACTGATGAAACTGTGGACATACAGAAATAAAAATATATAACTGTAAATAAAAAACTATATACATACAGTATAAGAGCAAACTATAAAATGAGAATGATATTACAGGAAGTGTAACTAGAGCTTTAGGAGTTACCTTTCTTTTCGTTAGGCTGGGGGTCTACATTACCAAAAAATAAAGAGATAGAAGGAATAGGATAAAGGATGGTTAGTATTTTCACACAGTTAACATGCTCAAGATTTTTTGTGTTAAGCTTCATTTCCTTCCTCGTAATGCATGTGCTTTGTATGTGGTTATTGTACCGATGCGTGGTGGGTAGGGGCGATTCTGGAAAGCTCTGTCCTCTTCCTCCTCATCATCTCGCTCTTCTTCGCTCTCGGCAGGAAGCAGCTCTTCAGTGGTGCGCGTCTCAGAAAAGGAAGTGGTCATGAGCTCGCTGATGTCCCCCCTCTCTGTTCTCACTAACTCCTCTGCAGAGACCGACAGATTCAGTGAATGATTCTGAGAACTATTAGACTTTGAGGCAACAAGGGAGTCACAAAAACACATCTTACGGATCTCGTCGTGAAGTTTCTCAGCCAGGCCAGGGACCTTGTATAGCAGAGCCAGGCTCTGGTTCATCCTCTCTTCAATCACATGCAGGTGTGTGTACACCTTCAAACACAGATATGAAATTACTTTTTCATTTATTTTTGCGTAATTTGACATGACCAAGCAATAAATCTCATCCTTTTCATGTCTGCGTTAAGCAGACACACATGTCTACAATGAGACATTTTGGTTTCTATTCATGTCATGCTGTGCTAGGTAGCTCCGCCCACAATTAAATCTTATTGGTCCAAAATTCTGCTTCAGACAACTATATATTACAAATCACATATGTTCTGATAGGTATTATTATTTAATAATAATACAAGTAATGATCATGATAATAATAATTAATGAATAATTATTTTATTTAATAATGATCATATTTTATTTGATTATTATTATTATTATTACTATATTTATATAATATCACAACATTTTGGGCCAAATTGTGAAGCCCTATAAAAAAAGTAAAGCATTATGTTCTAAGAGTGATAAATAAACACTTTATAGGAAGGCTTAATTAGTTAACATTGACTAGCAATAGACAATACTTCTGCAGAATTTATTAGTACATGTTAATTTCAACATTTTTAAAATTAAAGGTTGTATCTGTTAATATTAGTTTATGCACTGTGAACTAGTTGCTAATGTTAAAACATTAAACTAATGTTAACAAATCAGATCTTATTGTAAAGTGTTAAAGTTGTAGACATGAATGGAAGAATTCAGATCTGGGTGTGTGGCTCAAACCTGGAATTTCATCTGCTCAGCTTTCTGAGGGTCGGCGGACTCAATGTGCTGGTAATGACGTAGAGTGTGTCGTCTGTCCTTCTGCTCTGCGGCCATATAACGCTTCAGAGCCTGAAGAACACGGTCCGGCTATGAGGGAGTAGGAGAAAGAGAAATCATGTCAAAAAGAGAGTTGGAGAGAATTAGAAACACAATATTTCATGGCATGGCACTAGCAACACCAAGGTCACAGGTTCGATTCCCAGGGAAAGCAAAAACTGACAAAATAGAACCTTGAATGCAATTTAAGTTGCTTTGAATAAAAGTGTCTGCCAAATACGTAAATGTTGATAATAATAAAGAAAAAAAAAATACTGTTTGCAAATTGCAAGTATTGTATTGTGCTAATATTCTTGTAGCAGTTCTCTTTAAGTGGACGGACCTGTGGAGGGTCGCTCTGCACAGCACTCAGGTAGCTCTCCAGAGCCAGTCTACGGCTGTTATTCAGGGTGGAAACAACGCGGGCCAGATGCGTCTCCACCAGCCGCTGCCTCTCACCCGCTACCTGCTCCTCAAGGGTTTGTAAAACAGACTGGAAATGCTGGGAAAGAGAGAGAAAGGGAGAGAAATTTGTGAGAATATTCACTGTAACAACATTTTAAATTGAAACAGGATAATTAACAAGAAAAGAAAAGGGCAGGATGTGATTTTTATTCAATGGGAATTGACTGGAGTGATAAAAGTGGCCATTTCTATAACAAAATGTTGCAAAATCTGAATGCAAGTTTGCTTCTGAAACACAGCACCCACTTTTGAAGATTTCTTTACCAGGATGTGAAGGATAAAGATCAAGTTCACCCTCAAGAGAACTATCAAAATTGACTATTGTTGCCATAACCTTTATTTACATCACATGCAACCCATTTTACCTAATCAGACTATTCAAGCAGATAACATGTAGTCTGTTAAAATCTAAGGGTCAGTCATAAGATCATGAGTCATGAGAAACTGATCTTGGTTCAAGGAGAAAAAATTAAATGTCACAAAAGTGTAGAATATGACCCCTTTAATAGATAGCATACACTACTGTAAGTTTGGGATTGGTAAGATTTTATTTTAATTATTTTTATTTTCTTTAAAGAAAAGTTTATGCTCACCAAGGCTGCATTTATTTGCTAAAATTTTATTTTAATATATTTTAACATGTAATTTATTTCTGTGATGCAAAGCTGAATTTTTAGCAGCCATTACTCCAGCCTTTAGTGTCACATTCAAAAATTATTCAAGAAACATTTACTATTATTATCAATGCTGAAAAAGTTGCACTGCTTCAGTTGTTTTGTAACATTATAAATGTCTCCACTATTAGGTTAAATCAATTTAATGCATCCTTACTTAATAAAAGTATTGAAAAACACAATTAAATAATTAATTTCTTTACCTCATTCAGTGCCTGGCGGTCTGACTTAGGTAGGTTCTTTGACTGGTTGTCTGCCTCTGCCCACTCCTTCATGATCTGATGCACAAATAAAGTCATGATTCCCTCTTAAACACTTTTAGGTCACATAAGACCTTATATGCACGCATAAAAAGTCCCGCCTCCCTCACCTCATTGATGCGTTTCATTCGCCGTTCCTCCAGGTCCAACTTGGCACGTAGGAAGTTGGCATGTTCACTGTCGTCGCCCGGCATCTCGAAGTAAACATCCACACCATCTGTAGGACGAGGAGTGGGCACTACCGACAGGAGAGAAAGAGAGTTAATTAAGCACCAATCAGTGATTATTCAATCCATTAAAGGTGGGGTATGTATTTTTTTCAAAAAAGCTTTAGAAAACTGAATCGGGCCGAGTACCAAAAAAAAACTTGTAGCCAATCAGTAGTAAGGGGCGTGTCTACTCATGATGTGGAGGAGAGAGCGCTCAGTGCACAGGACAGACATTAGCCGAGCTGAGCACAGAAAGATAGAGATGGCGGATAAAAAACAAAAGAGGAAACCGTATGCGGAACAAAAGAAGGCTTACGATAAGGCAAGAAGTAGGACCCGTGTAAATATCGGATCAGCTTTCCAGCGCTGGAGAGAACTCAAGGAGCGGAAGGCCTGCGATCGGACGCCGAGGTTGCTTTGTTTCTTCTCGATAGGTGAGTAACACCGTGTCTACACCGGACGCACCGCGCCGCAACAGCTAAAGTCTGTTTACACTGGACGCAACAAAGCGACCGTTGAAAATAATTTGAAATTTGTGTCAATACGTCATAAATAGAACACAGCAGCAGTTTTCTGTCGGAGATTTGTCGTGTCATGCCTCGCCGCATCCAGTGTAGACAGCATCACTGATTATAATGAGTTCTATAGTATTTTGTC